GTAAGATTCGGAGGCGACGTTGAGCTTTTTCTTTGATATACAAGATATGGTCTCGCCAGGACAATTTGGAATCAAATATAACGCCTAGGAATTTGCCAGAAGACCGGTATTGGAGTGGAGCATTATATAAGAAGAGTGGGGGTTTGGGGGACCGTACGTAAGCGAGAGAAAAGGATGGGGAAATATTTAGAGGTAGAGAAGCGAAAGCCATGGTTGGTGGCCCAAGAAGTTACTGATGTTATTGCAGACTGAAGGAATTGACAGAGATCTGGTATGGATGTGCCAGATGCATAGATGGTTAAGTCATCAACATATAGTGATGCTCTGGCTCCTGGTGGTAGGACTGAGACTATGTCATTTACAGCAAGAAGGAATAAAGTGGTACTAAGCACACTTCTTCCTTGTGGGACTCCTTCGAATTGAGGAAAGGATGATGAAGTGGAAGAGGCAATCTTGACCTGGAAAGTACGTTTAGAAAGGAAGGATTTAATGAAAACACCCACGTTTCCACGTAAACCTAGGGAGGACAATTGTTGGAGGATATGGTATCGCCATGTGGTGTCATATGCTTTTTCTAGATCAAAGAAAATGGCTAATACGGATTCATGGCGTGCAAATGCCGATGCAATGTATGTCTCAAAATGGGCAAGTGGGTCTGCTGTACTTCGGGCACGTCGGAAACCAAACTGGGAAGGGGAAAGGAGATTATGAGATTCTAGGTACCACATTAAACGGAAGTTAACCATTCGTTCTAGTAGTTTACACAAGCAGCTAGTTAGAGCTATGGGGCGGTAATCTTGGGTAGGGTACCTGATTTATTGGGTTTTAAGAAAGGTAGGATGAGAGCATCTCGCCAATGAGAAGGAAAATTTCCTGTCGTCCATATGTGGTTGAAAATAGTTAAAAGGAAGGATAGCGAGGAAGATGGGAGGTGTCGGAGCATACGATAGTGAATACCATCAGGGCCTTCATGAGTGTTGCGGCACGACTGTAATGCAGCGTTGAGTTCAGAAGAAAAAGGAGCATTATAGGACTCATCAGAGGATAGGGTGAAGGTAATAGGGGTGCGTTCCTTGATGGTTTTAATGGAAGAAAAGTGTGGGGAAAGGTGAGAGCCACTACTGACCTGGCTGAAATAGTTGCCCAGTTCATTAGCTACTTCTACAGGCTCAGAGATGAGAATATCTCGAATATGGAGGACGGGTGCAGGATGGGGGGGATGTTTGCCTGATAGTTTATGGATCCGTCGCCAAACAGCTGAAATAGATGTAGAAGATGTAATTGAGGAAACATAATTTTGCCAGCTATTTGTTTTGTTGTTTTTAATTGTACGGCGAAGATGGGCAGATGCTCTTTTAAAGGAAATAAGGGCTGATAGCTGGTGAGGGGTGCCTCGTTTGTAGCGATAGCTGTTCCAGGCTGCTCGTTTTAAGCGGAGCGCTTTGGAGCAATCAGAATTCCACCATGGAACACATTTAGAAGTATAGGGTCTTGAAGTTCGAGGAATGGCTGTATAGGCAGCTCTTAGGATCGTTGTTGTAAAACAATGTAGCATATCTGAAATGGACAGTAAGGGGGGTGGAGGGATAGGTATAGTAGAGAGTGAAGTGAAAGTATGCCAGTCAGCTCTATCGAAGCACCAGCGTGGAGGATTAGGAAGTGGTACATATGAAGTAGGAGAAAGGAGTATTGGGAAGTGGTCACTATAGGGGAAGTGGTCTAGAACTGACCAATGGAAATCTAGATGTAAAGTAGGAGAGCATAGAGAGAGGTCAAGGCATGAAAAGGATTGTGTGCGCATGTCAAAGTGTGTGGGGCGATCTGAATTAATAATAATTAGGTTATTTGTGAAGAGGAAGCGTTCTAGAGATCGGCCTCGGGAGTTGGTGGTAGAGTCACCCCACAGAGTGTGGCGGCAGTTGAAATCACCAACTATGAGGAAAGGTGGTTGGAGTTGGGAAATTAGAGTGTCAAAGGCAGTAAAGTCAATGGGATGGGATGGGGAGAAGTAGACTGAAATCACTGTGATCCAGCGGCGAAGAAAGATGCGAATAGCTGTGCACGGGACAGAAGTTTGTATGGGAGGTATGACATAAGGTGTTTTATGATGGATAAGTATAGACGAGACATAAAGGGAGTGTGGGGAAGAGATAATAATTAGGAATTGGAATAGGAGGGTGTGTGAGGAAAGTCTCTTGGAGGCAGATAATAGATGGATTTAAAGAAGCAAGGATATAGACTATTCCAATGTAGGAGAGCTATATCCTAGTTGATTTATGAATGATAACAATTTACGTGTTGGGGAATTTGAAGGGAAGGAGCTAGGGGGTGTAAAGGTGGGATATTAGGAGGTAGGGAGTCTGAGAAGGGCATTGTTGTGCCATTCTCGTGTGTATCCTGGAGGGAGTGCAAAGGATAGAGGGGATGGAGGGAGGGAGAATGTGCCTATAGTTGGGGTTGAAGGGGGTGGGTTGTGTTGGGAGGGAGTAGATGTGTGGGGAGTGTTAGTGTTAGGAGGATGAATATCAGAAGGATGGATAGTTGGAGTTGAAGGGGATGTGTTGTCTTGGGAGGGATTAGGAGGAAAGGGTGTAGGGGTGCTGTGAGTAAGAGGGGGATGCATATCAGGAGGATGGGTATTGGGAGGATGGATATCAGTGGTGGTTGGGATTGAGGGGGTTAGGTTGTGTTGGGAGGGAGTAGGAGGAAGGGGTGTTGGGGGAATATTAGTAGGAGGGTTATGAATATCGGCAACCACTTCAAGTGTGGAAGGAGCATGAGTTATGGGATTTTGTGTCTCAAGCATATAGCTTTGAATGTCATCCATTGTTTCTGCAGTGGAGTTTGTTGGAGAGTTTTGTGAGAAGGTAATTGTTTCTGCAATGGAATTGGTTGGAGAGTTTTGTGGAATAAAGGTTTTCTTATGAGGGGGGGAAGAGGAGACTGGTGTCTCAGGAACAAAGGTATAGGTAGGTGGAGGTGATTGTGCTGTAGGGGAAGAAGGGTTAGAACGTTTAATCTGTCTACTGCGGGTAGTGCGGGGAGGGAGAGGGGTTGGTGTTGGGGCTGTAGTTGAGATAGGAGCTGTGGTTGAGATTGGGTTTAGAGTGGCAAAGGAATTGGTCTGAGGGATGTAGAATGTAGAAGTGGAAATGGGGACATTTTTGGGTGGAGGGGGAAGGGCTGAGCGGACGATGTTGCTAGAATATGGAGTATGAGAGAAACCTTGTCGACGTGCTTCCTGTCTGGCTTCACGTAAAGTGAGACCATTTTTGTATCTGAGAGTTGCTACCTCAGATTCAAACTTGTAAGTGGGACAGCCTCTAAAAATACATTATGGGGGCCGCCGCAGTTAGCACATGTTCGTGTTTGTGCTGAGCAGTTTGATCGATTATGACCAGGTTGGGCACATATGGGGCATCGGTCTGTGGAACGGCAATGTTTGGCAGGATGTCCAAAGCGCCAACAGTTTTGACATTGACGTGGAGGGGGTTGGTATGGTCGAACAGGGAGGGATTGTCCACCAATGTAGATACGTAAGGGAAGGTCATGTGTACAGAAGGTAATTTTGGCAATATTGGTTGGATTCTTTCGTTGACCTTTAGGAGGAATGGTGTAGCAATGTACTGATTTCACATCTTGGTCTTTGAGGCATCCTAATAAGTCTTCTCCACAGTCTGACCAATCTTTGGTATCGACTGGGCAGTTTGCTGGGGAGAGAGAGACAGTTCCGGTACAGGTATTAAGGGTTGGATGAGGTTCTGCAGGAATGGGGTTGCCAGAATGATCAGTTAAATTTGACAGTGCTATAGATTCAGTTTCTGATCTGACTGTTACCAGACGGGAGCGATCGCGTCTGGTATAGAAAGGGACTCTACCTACTTGTTTTTGGAGGCATTGTTGAAAGAGAAGAGTGTTGCCTGAGTAAGGAGCTGTAGCAGGGATCACGAAAAATCGGTCCCATTTAGCTGGGCTAAACAGAGTATTTTAAGATATCTGTAGGGTTGGTGGTGGTGGATAGTCGGGGATGTGTGGAAGAGGGAGTATTACGGAATGATGGAGAATAAGGTTGCAAGGTAGTAATAAGGGAGGATTGGTTGTTTGATGAAGGTTGCAGGGGTGGAGTTGAATTTGAGGAAGTTGGGTGGGTAGGAATGTCTTCTGGAGATTGATTCTCTGCTTGGGTGGGTAATGCACTAGTAGGCATTGAGGAGTGGGCAGTAGTTTCAGTGTTCGGAGCCGTGGTCAAAGGAGAGCCTGGGTTGGGGCTATTTGATAAAGGGGCTAGCCTCATAGCCTCTAATAAAGGGATTACATTCTCATTACTGGTCATGGGGAACCTGGATTATGTAAATAGGCCTATTCGGTCCACCTCCTTTCGCTACTGAAGGTAAGGGCTAGATTAGTCAGGAGTACCGTGCCCATAGTTCCCGCAGGCCGTTCAGGACTGGCACTAGGTCAGCCTTTCATCCTCTCAGCACGGCTCTCACACCTTAGGAAGTAGATAGCAGAAGGGGATGGAGAAGAGATGGAAACAAAAGCTGGAGAAAAAAAAAGACCATGCAAAATTAGTTGAGTCGAGGGCTGAGGCCCTAGGCAGGGGAGATCCCTGTATTGGGTCTCAGTCTTCGTCTCCTAAGCCCCCCCACGACAACAACGGGCAAGGGATTGGGGGGGGATTAACAGTTAAGCTCTAAAAATATGTAAACCTGTTTACTTGTGTACTAATTCATACTAGTGATTTTAATAGTTGACAATACTCCATTTTGCATGTCAGCTTCTCACCAGAATAGTTCTTTACATATTTAAACTATAAGCTGGCATGAACCCAATGATAAAAAAAAAATAAGTATCATTATCATCATTTTATTATAAAATTCAAAGGTATAAAAACATTTACAATGTAAAAAGAAATATTTCATAAAATTCTAAATATTTTTATCACACCTGGATAGCAAAATAGTACTTATAATCAGGAAGAATGGTGCATTAATATTCTGAAATATAAAATTTTTAGAAGTTTGATAGTGTCAAGCCTAGAATCAACATGTATATAAAATCACAGCAAAACAAAATTTTCATGGTATTTTTAATGCTGACACCTCTTTGTATCTTTGGTTACAATACAAGATTATCACCTACAAGGTATAATCTGGTTAAGGCTCTACAGTTAACCCATTGGTGCTGGGTACTTGCACTGTCTTCTGCAAATTTAATCTTAATTGTTTTATAGACAGCTTCAAAAGCACTTACTCAAGGAGTAAATTACTAAGCCTACCCGACCTCATATATTTATACCACTCACATTTTCAGAGAAAAAATTATATGCAACTATTACCGTCATGATGAAGGTTATTATCACTGTTGATATTATCCTCATTATAAATTCCCTAATCATAACAGCCCTAAAAGTAATAAATCTGTTTTATCAGAAATTCAAGGAACAGAGTAAACAAAAGCAATCAAGTAGGCCTAGTAATTTTCTCCTTGGTGACTGCACTTATGACACAAGATTAATAAAGTAACTTCGCAGTAAACATGGCATACCAGTGAGTTAAAATGTCTAAACCTACATGAAATACGTATCATACTTTCTAGTTTTTGCTAGTTATTAAACCCTAATCGACAGGAGACAATTTGAGAACTGACAAATAAGCATTTATTATAATATTACACGGCCATTTCCATTTTGATCTTTGGGTGGGGTTTATAACCATCAAGTTCAAAGTCCTCAAACTTGAAATCACTGATGTTCTCCACTTTCCTCTTGATCTTCAGGGAGGGGAATGGTCGCGGCTCCCTCTTGAGTTGTTCCTCTAAAGCTTCACAGTGGTTAGAGTAAACATGAGCATCTCCCAGTGTGTGTACAAAGTCACCAGGCTGTAAGGATTGTAAGTATTAGTGTTAAATCTATTAATTCTGCAAAAGAACTAAGCAACAAAATTTTTAATATTTTTATTACTACCATATATCAATATCATACCCAAACACCCTAAGTAATATCCCATTCACAGCCAACTTCTCTGCCACCAACAGTATTGTCTCTAAGACCAATGGCCTAACATATTTACTTGAGCTTTTTATCTTTGTTATATAAATTAGGCAAGAATTATTGCAACATATATAGTGTTTTACATTTGGAAGGCCACAGAAAGCTTTACATTATGCTAATCAGGAAAATATTCAAATAATGTTTTACATTTCATTTGAAATTAATTTAATTCAAGTCTTCAATAAACCTTACAGGCAGACTGCTGATTTACGTTTCAACTTTTTTTATGGTTTACCATTACTATTGCACTCCCTCATTTTAAACTGGCAATGTTGAATAACTTTTTTTCTATTAAAAATTGATGAGAAAAATTCTATTTCCCCTTTACACTTTCAATCTACATATTTCTTGGGCACTGCAGTTTCTGGTCCATTATTCTCAGGATGAAATACTGTATTTCATGCACTTTCCTTGTTTTAAGCATTTCCCATTGAACTAATCAATATAACAGATTGGTTTGGTACATCTAGAATGACTTAACTGCATATATAAAGATACTCTAACTGCATACCAATTTTTTTTTTCAAATGTCTGTGGCTATCCTATAAAATATGTACTAATCACTACCTTCAAAATAATTAGCAAGCACCCAACCAAAATACTGAAGGTCTGGCTTCCTCCAGAAGCATGCCTGGGCCTCAGAAAAAGGAAGATAGACCCATATTTAAGTCTGGTACAGAATCAGAAAAGAAAAGTGAAATCCTAATTTTCATGAAAATTACAATGTTGAAAATATGTTCAGAGATCTAGGGGTCTTAGCATTACTATGAAATCCACATTCAATCCAATTCAATTACACGTGTATGAACATAATAAAAAGCTTTAATTTTGTAGATGAAGAAACCATTCCACATTGTCTAATCAAGCTATTTCATTTTGTTTATAAAGTCTATATAATAGAACTTATAGAAGGCAAGAAAGATTCCGGTTAATGTTTAAAAACAAAAATAAGCATTGATGCTTTGTCATTGACCAAATCTTGAGTAGTCTAGGACAAGTTACATTTCAATTAATAGGAATAAATTCTGAATGATGATGTGACAACCTGCCATTCTGTACAATTTTACAAACCTCCTGGTGATAAATAGTAATAGATGGCACACAATGGAGCAAAACATTCTAAAATTCTCATTTTAAAAATCTGTTCAACAAGGATATTGGTAAAAACATTTTCTCCCTAAGTATAATCAATTAAAATTATTTGATTGACACTGATATCAATTATGCCAAGTCCATTAAATTAATTTCTCATTCTACATTTTCAACATCCATAAATCCAATAAAAAAAAAATTATATATATATATATATATAATATATTATATATATATATATATATTATATATATATAAAAACTTACCTTCAGGTCAGTAACATGAGCAATCATGTACGTAAGAAGTGCATAGCTGGCAATATTGAAGGGAACTCCAAGACCCATATCAGCTGAACGCTGATATAGTTGACAAGAAAGTTCCCCATTTGCTACGTAGAACTGGCACAAGCAGTGACATGGAGGAAGGGCCATCTTGGGCACATCTACTGGGTTCCATGCACACATAATGATACGGCGATCATCTGGGTTATTTTTGATGGTATCTATTACCTAATAAAAGAAGCAAGAATTACAAGAGAATTATGTTTAAGTTCTAGAATGCCATGTTTTATATTGAAACCCCCATACATATATCTTCAGTTCACTTTAAATCTATATGAATCATCACTACAAAAACCTTTCACATTTTGTGCCCAATGTAGCCCAATAAAAAAAATACTTTTCTTGTGAGATACCTTTGAATATTTCTCCCCTTTCCACTAAATCTGAAGACTTGACACAGGAATAGTATGAAAGTGATCATGAAGCAAAAGACAAATTGATACTAACCTGCTGAAGCTGATCCACACCTTGACCTGTATAGTCAGTGTGCATGTCTGCATACGGAGCTCCAAAGTGTCGCCACTGGAACCCATATACCGGGCCCAGATCCCCCTCCTCTCTATCATGGAATCCCATTTTGTTTAAAAATTCCTTGGAGGAATTTCCATCCCAAATGTGAATATCCTTCTCCTGTAGTTCTTTAGCATTAGTGGAACCTCTCACAAACCAAAGCAGCTCTTCAGCAACACCTCGCCAGAACACGCGCTTTGTAGTCAGAAGAGGGAAAATACCTGAAACACATATCTATACAATATTCTTTCTTCACTGCTATCTAGTCTGATCTAGAAAAAAACCCTTAGGATATGCTATACAGTAATAATTTGTGTCATCAGTCTAAAGTCTAGACTGCTTATCAAGTTTAATAGGAATTCAAATAGGCTGAAACATGGCTACTTCCCTAATAGTTATTTTTATTTAAAAACCAATTTTCCTCTCTACCGTTTACATTTCACTAAGTACCTTCATAAAAAAAAAGTACTTAATCGTTTCTCCATATTGGAAATAGAAATCTAGCTTATGACTAATCTCTTTTGTTCAATCTTTAGTTGAATACTCATGGAAATAAAGAAATTAATAATGTTAATAACCTACCAAAAGATAACATTTTTGATTATCATTCATTAAAAATAACTTATTCACATTTTCTTACAAATCAATAATTTGCATATATCCTTATTGAGATGCAAACATAATGACAGATCAAGAGGAATGGAAAAGGCAAAACAGGAAAATTGAAAAGGAGGGAGAGGAGGAGAGACAAAAAAAGAAAGAAAAAAAGGGAGACAGAGAAAGAAAGAAAAAAGGGAGAGAGACAGAGAAAGAAAGAAAAATGGGAGAGATACGGAAAGAAAGAAAGAAAAAAAGGGAGAGAAACAGACAAAGAAAAAAAAAGGTAGAGAGAAAAAACAAAAATCATATGGGAGGAGACAAAGGGAAGGATAGAAGTCAAAGGAAACAAAGGGGATTAAAAAGGAGAAAACTGAAGATGAAGCGCAAATGCCAAGGTGAGAGAAGCAATTGGCGATAAAAAGTTCCAGAAATAATTGGCGAGAACTGCAATCGGTAAAAGAATCTCCTTACCATCTCGAAGTGAATATCTCATCTGGGCACCAAACATGGAAATAGTGCCAGTGCCAGTCCTATCCCCCTTCCTGTTGCCTGTCCTCATTATCTGTCTGATCAGGTCTAAGTACTGGTACTCGTCATGCCTCATAGCCTGCAAATGAAATGTTTCTGGGTAAAATCCTATAACGTATTGTGAACTATAGAAGCAAAGCAAAGAGAACATGGACAAGGAGATAGGGATGAATACAGGGATAACGAGGCCACAGGGGAAAGGAAAAGACAAAAAGAATCAAAACGAGAGCCAGAGGTGATGGCAGCAAATAAAGCGCAAGAGGATAATAAAACTTATATACTTTATTTTATAAAATATCTGAACAATATAATTTATTTTACAAAACCTCTTTCCCATTCCATTCCTTGTCAATTTGTATCTAATTATATGAATTACTGTTATTTCTATATATATAAAAAATCAATAAATTAAGGTTGGTGATTACTACTTAAAAGTTTTCTGGGCATAAACATCAAAGGTCATTAAATAAGAAGTACTTTGAACTTACATGCTCATTTCCATTTTCACAACCATTAGCAGTATCATTAAGAGTTCCATTCATGTGTGCCTTTTCTGTTTTCAGGTTAACCACACCTGCTTCACCATTACTCTGAGACTCTGCTAATGACATGGTGAAACTGAAGAATCTGAAATACACAAAAAGAATGAACACTTTAACATGCAAATCATTAATGAATAGAAGAAATGCATGTTAAAAAGCCTACATCTCATACAAACATGAAACAACATTTTTAATATGAACTGGTTATAAAAGCAGAGGCATTACTAAAACATGCTCAATTGATTGTCTCAACAAAACCATTTGCATTTAAGTTTTTCTCAGTTGTATCACTTTCCTATTTCTTTGAAGTAAATCTGTGCCTTAGGTCATATTTAAAATAATTATTACATGAACACAAACTAAGATGTTAAAAATACTGTCTGCTCTTTCAATACAGTAAAAAGAGATTGACGTGGCAATCAGTCCAAAAACAAAAATGTTTTATATAATTCCAAATGGCACAAGTTATAAATTATTTGAGTCAGTCAACCCAGGAAATCCATCAAAGAGTTAAAAGTATACTACTGAAGTAATTGGAGACAAATCATTGTTGATAATCTCCCTATCATTATTATCAAATGGAGGATTATAATCAAAACAATTTTTTCATTTGCTCCTTTTAAAATCTTATATCTGAGAATACACAAAATAAAGTTTTGATAGTGCCAAACAAACAAAATTGACCTGACACTCTCCTGACCCATCAAATTTTTTTTCTGCTTAGTTTAAAATTAGAAAGGCATAGTAAATATATCAATAAATGTTTAAAGGACTTGCAGTGGCAGGTTAATCTTTACGGTATGGACGGAATAAGTTGGAGCTGATTGAATGATATTCTTGTTAAGATAAAGAAAACGCAGTCCTTGGTACAAGAAATATTTTTCAGACGCAAATGGTAGCACCACAAATATAAAGATAAAAGACTGCAGAAAGCATCACTCTAAGCCTAAGTACACGGTGCTCCTGATTTTCAGCTCGATCTTACCATGCATGCCAAGGTGAAGACAATGTTTCCTAGGGGGTTTTGGGGGGCAGAACCCCATCAACTCTCACCTCGGGCAGTGTTCAAAGGGCACAGCCAGTCACAGCAACTTTGATAACAAATTCCGGCAATTGCATCCATACTGTAAAGTATTACCTAGTGGCCCTAATGGAGTGCCTAAAGTGTGGAAACGGTTAATTGGCATAAGGGCAATAGTGGATACATGGGTGTCTTCTCAATAATGGCATTATATACCTGGTGAGTCTTTGACAGGATATGCTGTACACTTCGATAATAACCACGCTTAGTTAGGCAATATCAAGGACCTTGTCTTACAGAGAAGAAAGAAACTAGTGTTCCTGATATGTGAAAATCTGCTCAAGTAAAGAATAACATCAGAAATAAAGAAAACAGTTCAGGTTAAATGCCAAAAAGAGACCAATCCACAGTGTTCAGGTCTGGGGACAGAACTCTCTGCCAGGGAATCAAGTATGGTTCCAGGAGTGAAGCACCTGATGATAAGGAAGGTTTGGTTCACATAGTGGTGTGGCATTTCTGGATTCCCTAGAGTATCCCCAAGGTTATTAGTTGGAGCAAAAGGGGCCTGTGTGCTGTGTAGTGCAGTGGTAACGTACTGGTCTTGCAATCTTGCTGACCTGCATTCAAACCTGCAGACAGTATGTCGTAGCAAAGAATATCCATTGTAACAAATGGAACTGAAACTAAATCTATGTTGCAAAGGTGTAGTCACTTTGTAAGCAATTACCTAGGATCTTTGTGATATATATCAATGTTCCCTCCACCTATTCTGTTCTTTCCTTTAAGTTTGGCACAAAAAATGTGGAGGTTTTAATATTACATTAAATAGCATAAAATTACAACTCACCAACTTGGGGAAATATGGAAAACTCAAATGGTTACATAAAAAATAACGAAATAAACGGCTTCATTTCCATGCTTTACAAGTTAGGCCTATCCAAATACCAGACGTAAAAATCCTACTAGCTTTATTGAAGCAACGATATGCCCACCTCTTAGTCATACTGAAGTATTTGCTGAAGAATTGTCTTAAATTATACACATCATAAAAACTTCCAAA